GATAATTATCTTTTGAGAGTAGGAGGCAGACTTGCCAATAGTAATCTTAATTACAACCAAAAATTTCCTTATGTAATGCCAAAAGATCATGTATTTACTAAATTAATTTTTCAGTATTACCATGCTAAATATTCACATCTTGGTGCTCAAGCACTATTACATCAGGTTCGTAGTAAATTTTGGGTTATTAATGGTCGAGATATAGCTCATAAGGTTGTACATGGAATGTGTAACATGTTTTAAGGTTAAATCAATTTGTATGTGAACAACTTATGGGAAATTTACCTAGTGAGAGAGTTAATCCAGGGTTTGTATTTGACTACGTTGTGGACTCGGATTTTTCTGGTCCATTCCTTCATCAAGTATAAAATCAGAGAAAAGATAATTATACGTTGTGCGTGTTGCTAAGTAATTATACGTTGTGTTATGCAAAAAGTGTACGTTTGCTATATTCATATGTTTAGCTACTAAAGCAATACATTTAGAGGTAGTAACTGATTTAACCACAGATTCATTACTTGCTACTATTAAAAGATTTATTGCTAGACGTGGAAAATGTAATACCATAATGTCAGATAACGGTACTAATATGGTTGGTGCAAAATCAGAATTGAAAAAAATTGCATAGTTTAGTCCTTAAATCTAATTCTGATATAGTAGATTTTCTTAACATCTGAAGGTATAAATTGGAAACTGAATTCCACCTAGAGCACCAAATTTCGGATGGTTTATGGGAAAGCAGGTAATAAAGTCATTTAAATATCATCTTCAGCGTACAATCGGCAGTTATAAATTAACTTTAGAAGAATTTTGGACTGTTGTCTCACAGATTGAAGGTATTCTCAATTCTCGTCCAATTTTACCTTTATCAACAGATGCAAATGACTTTGAAGCCTTAACGCCGGGTCATTTTTTAATTGGACATTCCATTACTTCATATCCTGAACCAGATTTGTCTCATCTTACAGATAATAGACTTTCTAAATGGCAAGTTATTACCAAGTTCATTCAAGTTATTTGGAAATGTTGGCAAACTGACTATTTAAATCATCTACAACAACGCACCAAATGGTTTATTAATAAAGAAAATTTAAAGGCAGGTATGTTAGTTGTGTTAAAGGAAGATAATCTTCCCCCCCCCCATTTAAATAGTCTTTAACTAGAATTCTAGAAGTTTTACCTGTTAAAGATAATAAGGCCAGAGTTGTTAAAGTGAAAACATCAAATGGTGTGTATATTCGATGTATTAGTAAAATATGTTTATTACCTATCCAGGATAATAATGCTTAGTTTACATTATGTTCTTATTGAAAATGTGCTTTACATTAAAATGGAACTGTTAAAGAATAAGATAAGTCGATTGTAGCATAGTGAATGTTAATGTTCTTAAAATGTTACATTATTTTATATTATATTCATGATGAAAGATTATCTATTAGCTTTCATATTGTATTGTAGAATTAGTTATTCTTGGAATGTTAAATTGTATGTTTGTTTGTAATTTACATGTTGAAATTTGTAATTTCAACGGGTGGCGGCATGTTAAGTTAGAATACAGTGCCACCTATTGGATAGAGAGAGAAACTCTCACTTGGCCATCTGGATTAGTTAGTTCTTTTGCTATACAGTCCACTTATTAGTTTTGAATCATAGTACAATTTGTTTCACTAATTTTGCAGCTCAAATGTAAAGTTTTGTTCATAAATAATAATAATAAAAAGTATTTTATAAGAAATCAGAAATTTTGAGGGGGTCAAAACACAAATCTATAAAGTCAATATTTACATTTTTACAGCTGGTGTATACTGTTTAGCAAAATAATCATTAAATAAAAAGCACATAAATTCACATATACTCAAACATGTGTGGGTTATTTATTGCCACATGCATATTTTGAAAATAAATATACCAAAAATAGCCAACTCTAGAGAAAATTGAAAGCAGGGGTGCAAATAATTAGAAATTAGCCCCTCTCCCCACAAAAATATATTTATCAGTGATATTGCCTTCAAGTTTCAGACAAACTGACATAAGCCTGCCTCAAGATTCAGTCATTATTGTTGTTCAATATTTACAATTAATGAGCTTCGAGATTTTCTGATCAATGATTGTCTATTAAAAACCTCTTTTTTATGACAATTTGATCATTTGATACAATGCACCAAAAAACAGTGAACAGAAAGAACCTAAGTATGAAGTTAAACAATACATGAAATCATTAGATCATAGCTGTTGTTCAAATAATATGATTTTAATTCTACATAAAGACATGCTGCCATTTTCTTTTTACCTTAAATACACAAAGTTTATCCTTAATTTAATATTATGTGGTTGAAACATCCCTTAAATTGACAAGTCTACCTACTTGGTTGTATTCTGGACTCTCACCTTGAACAGAATGCATACAGCTCTTATTACAAAGAAAGCAGAATGGAGATTGTCGATTTTGAAAATAAGTTGTCTGTAAAGGGGACAGTAACAGACATGCTCTTATTGTTACTTATGTATCTTATAAGCTTCTCCTAAACTACTGAAATGAAATCCTTATGAATCTCAATGAAAATTATCAATAACTTGGAAAATGGTGATCACCAAAGCAGTTATTCTACTCCTATTTTTGCCAGTTAGTTGCTAACTAACGAAATCTCAGTTGAACACGATACTTGAAAAAGTGCTACAAAAGCTTTGGATTCACATAATAACTATTGGCGAAGCTATAACCTCAAAAAAATCCAGAAACTTAAAGACTCAGCTTAACCAAGCCAGCTGCATCACAGCAGATCTTGGTATTGCTGAAAAGAACATGGTTAGCTAGCGGCCATTATTAGTGTGCTTGATTGTGTGCTGAGAGGTGCACCTATGCGATGGCAAGAGTGTCCATCCAAACAGAAGTTGAAAGAAATAAAGCTACAGTCCATTAAATCTTGGTGTTTGTGTTTCCTGAGTACTTATATGTTTATTCTCGAACACAATTATTGGATTTTGTAAAGAAATGTGGAGAAGCAGTAATAAATGAAGATGATATAACAGAAGATTTTCATTGTGATGGCAATGCCCCAATCATCAAACTATTAAAGGATGGCAAAATCTGTAGTATGGTTCTAAATCCAGAAATTACTGCTTCCGAAAGGTGGAACTTTGTAACTGAACAAGAAATTATGTCTGTTTATAGAACTAAAGAGAAAGTATTAGCACAAAAAACAAAGCAACTTAAACAACTTACATTGAAAGAAATGTTTAATAAAGTAATCATAAATATTAAGCTCTTTTTTTTTTTTTTTTTTTTTTTTTGTACATTTTGATACCCTTTAGATCATAATTGCTCTTTATTTCGTAAATTACGGTTTCATATTTTTAATTGTATAATTTCTGCATGCCATCTTACAAGATTTAAATTGATGATCTATAATCTGAAAAAACCCCTAATCCAGTATCGCCGACGTCGCGATGAGTCCGGATTACGGACTTTGTACTGTATATACAATCATACATATTTGCTTTTAAAGAATAAAATAAAGTTAAAGAATGTTTGTTAAATAAAATTATACATACATATTTTCAAACAATTTCATTAGCAAAGCAAAAAAATATAACTCTTTTTTAATACATTAAAAATTCATTTATGTTTCAGCATATTCAATTTTTATTTCAATATGATTAGCAAGATATTTTGATGCAGACAGTTTTCTCTCTTACTGTTATAGATTAAAGATTGAAGTATTTATATCAGCAGGTGTTAGAAATAAGGAACTAAAAAGAGTAGACTAGTTCATGAAATATAAAAAGACAGCTTTCCAAGATTTGAGAAAGACAATGAGTGAACATTTCAGAAATCCTGAAATTCCAGATTTAAGCTTTTCCAGACAGCCATCCCATGCATGCATCCCCTACAAACGTCTCTCACAACCAGGTGTCCCACCTGTGTATCACCGGAGAACGAGCTTAGGGGACAAATGATGTCCCTAAGCTCGTTCTTAGGGGACACAAGATGGTATCCTGTGTGTGTGAACAAAGTTTTAGGATCCTAACCTTCGGTTTGAACACATTATGTCTGACTTTGATGTCAGTTGTTGCAGGGAAGGAGGGAATGTGTAATGTAAACAAATAGATCTCAGCTCCTTAACTCACCATGTGATATAAACATTTGCATTTCTGATATACCTCCAAATCTTTTGTTTTTCTTTTATTTCACTAAAGTCTTTTAGGGCTACTATGTGGGATTCTGTTATGCTTTGCATTGGTTCTGGGTATATATCGTATTTTCCTTTTCATTTTGGAAAACCTTGACTCCAGTTTATTATGGCAAGAAAGTCTTATTTAACATAGGAAGGAGATATTCGAATTGTAACTGAGTCGATAAGTGACATGGATGAGAGTGATAATTCATTTTTTAAAAAGTTAGTGAGCAATATTTCTAGTGATTCTGATATGGACATTTTGTCAGAGACTGAATTCACTGAGTGCCTTCCTTCCATGTCCCATGAAAGACTCCTTCTTTTAAACAATCTTTCTTGTATTTTTTATTAAAGTTGATTAATGTATATTGTCAATTAAAATCTTGGAATAATTAGAATAACGATTCCAAAAATTATTTCTCAAAGTAAGCAATTTTTTTGGTATATTTTCATGTAAAGCAAAGGAAAAAGATTATTAAATGCTAATTTCGAATGTATATGATAGCTTAAGTAACAATCTAAAAAATGGTAGCAAAAATTATGACATTAGGGCTTAAACATCGCCCTTTTTGTGATTTTCCCCCCTAAAGTTAGGCTTTTCAACACAAAGCCCCCAGTTATTAATAATAAAAATATTTTACAAATGAGAGGAAAATTTCAATACAATCAAAATTCATCACATTAATTAGTCAATAAATGCAAGTCAGGTTTCAGGGATGAAGTTTTACCTTGATTCAAAGTAAAGTAATTTAATTAAATGAAAAATTAAATACAATAAGATCATAAGTATTTATAGCTAACTATAAGGAATTAATGCTGCCTTACCTACATATCCAATAAAATATGATGCATGATTCGTTCTTCCTCCAATAATTCCTAAAGATTGTTTTAAAGTGAATACTGCCTGAAATTAAATTTTAATGTTGAAATGCATTAATATAATTTTAACAATAACATATGCAACAAGCAGAATTAAAAAATGAGATTAAAAATGCAGTATTAGTAACATTTATAAATCTAGGATTTTTTGCCCAAAGCAAAAAACTTCCAACTATTCAGGATTTTTTTTTTCCCCCCTTTAGATCCATTTTGAATTTACCGATAAAACATGCCATGTCTATTCAGAGTTGCTAAATTATCAAACATAAAACCTCAAAAATTTATTTTAAGATATCAAGAAAATTTTCAAAATAATAATAAAAATACATAAAAAGAAACTTTTTTTTAGTTATGCATTATGTTTAAATATTACCTAATACCTAACTAAAAGCACAGTCACTAATTCTTAAATTCAAGGAGTACAAAGCTATTCACTTCATATGTACATTTATCATTTGTGCATTTTAATTTCAATTCATAATTATTTTTTATTAAACTGTTTTACAAACAGTGACAGATTTTACTTTCTCGAAAAATAAATCATTATGAAATAACGCATAACAGTAGTTGTGTAGGCATGTTTTTTGCTAATAAAAGTTGTATGTTAAGAACATTAGGCCTTTCAACACATAAAAAGTGCAATAACAAACAAAAAATAACACAAATACAACAATAAAGATTTTTTTTTAATGTATATTGATTATTTTACTCTTTCCCCTCTTCAGAATCTCACATCATCTCTCAAAGCTTGTAAAAATAATAATGAAAGAGCAGAATGAACAGCCTCAATTTTACTTTTATTGGTTAATATATGCAAAATGGCCAGCGAAGCCACTTGATGCTAATTAAAGAACAGAAGCATGATATTTTTTGAAAAACCTGCTCTTGCATGCATAGCTGTAGCCTGCCATATTTGAGAAAATGCCTTTACATTTAATAATAATCGGTTACCTAAGAAAAGGGCTTTATATGCTAGAAATTAAATTTTGGGGAGTAAATAATAAAATGATTGTGTGCTGCAAATTTGCAACTCGTCAAAATCAAGAATCTCCCCACTAAAACTAAAAGCGGTGGTACTTCTGCTAGTAGATACGTATATACAGAACATCCGATAACCTAATAAAGTAATGTCTGAATGTTTTCAGGGAAGGCAAGCATTCTTGGGGGGTGGGAGGAGAATTATAAACAAATTAACCAACACCAAAATTTTCCTGTATTTTGATATACAGATATTCTCATATTTATTAATTAGCTAATAATATAGCTTTCCAAGAAACATATTTACATTCAATATTAATTCTTAAAATATTTTCGACAGTACACAGCTGTCTGAGGAGCGCACACATTTATAATCACAAAAATTTGAGTTAAGAATCTTCAACATAATTATTTGATTCTTCTAAATAAACTATTTGATTAATAACATAATTCAAGATTGCATACAGTCTGTTACTTCAATTTTAATAAAAAATTATGAACATAATTTGCATAATAATGAAATATTTTTTACCTGCTGATATAATTTAAATTAAATGTTGCATAAAAAATTTTCTATCTTTAAAAATTGTGAAATCTCTGACTTTAGAATGTAGGATGCTTCATTTTTCAAAGAAAAGGTGCAATGTGGTAATTATTTATGCAATATGCCTTTTAAATTAGCATATCCTGGAATTATAATTATTTTGAAAAATTAGCTATTGTGCTTTGAAACCAGCATTTGTGTTCTAATAAATTACAAGCTTACCATATATACATTCAATCTAGGATATATAATTTAAATGTCTTTGCTATGCTAAACATTTGCTATGCACTTTCCAAAGAATAAGTAGCAAAAATTTTTAATAAGACTTGTAAAATGCAAGATATAATGACAAACAGCGATCTAGCATAAACAGAAACTTTAAAATTTTTTAAACTTTAAAACTTTAAAAGAATTTTTTAAAAACTCCAAATTTTAAATACCATGCAAATGCAGCACTTAATATGCATGTAACCTACATCTAAAATAAAAATATGAAACTTAATTTAAAGATACAATTTACATACGTGATTCATTATATCATTTTGCAATTTACTACAATTTACAAGAAGATTAACAAGTCTTGACATCTAATGCATACAGACCAAAAATTTCAGCCAAAGTAAAATATTAGAAATAAGTTAAAAATACATTGAATTACATAAATATTAATATATTTATTTAATCTGAAACTTTGTTAATAGTTACATAAGCAATTTACACAGCATTTTCTTATATTAATTGTGATTAATTTTAATTCATTCTTAATATTAAGATACTCACTTTTAATTTTTCATAATATACAGGTATAATTTCTGAAAGTCCTAATCTCAGTGGTATAGTCAACAGAACTGGAGAGTTAGATTCAGAATATTCTGAAGAATTTTCATTTAAGCAGGTTCCTCCTTGGTCACATGAGGAATCTAAAATATTACTGCTAGCTGGCAGAGTGTCAGCTGACACTATATTTTGGAAGTTTTTATTACTTCTCCTAAAAAGCTTTCCTAGATGAGAAATTTATACATAAATATAAATGAATGAAGTGGAAATTCTACAGAGAGTATTTACACATTTTTGGTATGATTTCAGGGGTTTTTTAATTAATATTTAAAATGTCAAAAGTATTTTTTTAAATGTGCAATATAGTAGTCCTTTTTCTGGAAGTCTGCATCATCATTTCCATGATAGAAGGGCTTTTCGCAAAATTTCCAGGGTGATTTCCATTCCCCTTTCACTACTAAGTCCATTAATCATGTTGGGTTTCGACAAAGAAAAAGCTCTCTTCAAGAGACCAAAGGCACAATACTCCATCAGGAGAATGTGCAGGAATAAGTTGAAAAGGTATGAAACACCTGTATCAATATTCATTTTTCAAGGAATGCTGTGGTACTTTTCAAAGTATGACTTGACTGCTTTGTCATGAAGTTTCTCTTTTTGAACATCATTGTGATACAGAAATGGAATTTCTTCAGTAAATACCGGATGTAATACTTTTGATTGACAGTACGTTGAATTGATTTTAACATTTTACCCAAAATTCTTATTCTTAATTTTTCACAGTAAGAGAATCTTGCAACAATCATAAACCCCATACTAATTTTTTTTTTCATTGATAGAACCAGGTTTTTAATTTTTTTTTTTTTTTTTTTCTCTCTTTGCTTTTCAATAATAAACCTAAGTATTTTGTTGCCGTCATTTAGGTAAACCCATGCTTCATCAAAGGTCACAATGTATTTCCATTTATCTCCTAAATGGTTTTTATACAGGATTCTTTAAATTGCTCTGCATTAAGCTACATGTCTTGGCAAAAGCTGGTTAACATTATGTCTCTTAGCTTTCTTAAGTTGTAAATTTTGGTTTTTTTATTCTATTTATTGTTGTTATAGATGTATTCAAAGACTGCAGCTGATTTCTGTATCAGTGGATTTCCTTTTATTATAAACGATTTAACTTTAGAAATGTTAGAAACAGTAAGGTTGGAGTCTTCTTTCCACATTGAAGTAATGACCGATGGTTTATCCCTTTCTGATTAATAATATTGCTTATTTTGCACTTAGAAAATTTAATATTATGCATTTCACAAAATTTTTGAAGCATGGAATAAGAACATTTCTCTTTGAAAAGAGCAAAAACCTATCCTTTAATCCACAGCTTGTTTACATGTAACATTTTAATAGAAAAATTAATTTAAAACTAGCAGATGATATTTCTCATTTCAAATAAGCTATTGCTAGAAATTTGTATTCCAAATCATTTGCTTTTTTTAAGTTCTTTATCAAATTCGTTCTAAAAATGTGTAAATACGTTCTGTATTTTCTTCTGTTTTAATAATTTTATTTTATAAAACATTACAAACCACAAAAGAATTAATTATTATTTAACTCATGCATATTAATTTTTTATAATAATTTATCAGAAATGAATCTAACAATTAAAAGCCAGGCTACTCACTAAGTTCATTCTTAATAACCATATTATCCATAGCAACATGTATTGCAATATCATTTTCAGTATCTTCTTCAGCTAGGCGTCTAAACAAAGCAAAAAATTTCTTTAAGCAAAACACTACAGTCAGATTTTCTTTCATTTATTATATGAATTTATTTAAGTATTTTTTTAAACTGTTATGACTTTGCGAATTCTACACTAATACTAGCATTTACATAACCAAAATTTTTAATGGAATTATGAATATATTTCCATGCTAAATTTCATAAATAAAACGAAAATAAAACTTTATATTAGTATTTTCATAATTTCTTTAAAAAAGTACTCTAGTATGGTACTTTTGGTTCAAAATAATGAGACATTTGAAATGGCCATTTTAAGTCAGGTTGGAAATGACAGCTGAAAGCATGTGATAACAAATAAAACCACTAATACCATGTGGAGGACATCACATACTTAATAGATAAGTGATTGACATGCTATGCTGCATTGGTCATTTGGCAGTGAAATACAGTAGTGTATTGCAACAAATCATCAAAGTTAATCATACAATTTGCACAAATGAGAATGATTTTTTCACAAGTTAAAATCTGGAGCATTCTGCAGTAAATAACACATAACTAGCAGATACATCACAGATAGTAGATATATGTATCATACACAGCTAATGAATATACCATTTACTGCTAACTTTGAAAGGTTTGTGCAGATGACACATCACTAGAAGATGCACTATCTGAACATCTATCACAATCTTAATCAAACAATCTAAGGCAGACTATAGAAGCTGGCCTTCTACAAAGTATATATACACCTAAGGAACTTTATGTAAATCACTTCACAGTGAGTCAGCAACTAACTGCAATAGACAAGGTGAAGAAATTGAATATTTAGGAACCCCATGATATCATTCTTTAAAAAAGGCACAACAAACAGAATTATGTATCTCCCTCGCATTGAAAAATAATAGGGAGGAGATTTTGCATTAAATTATTACCAGTGATGAAAAGTGGGTTTTGGTATGATAATTCTTACAGATCCTGTTTAGTGGCTGCAAATAAGCATTCAAAGCACTATCCAAAGCCACCTCTGCATACCCAAAAGTTGCTCTGCTTCTGTGGTGAATGTGCAGCTGGCAGCATTCATTGTGCCTTCCTTAGACTGGGTAAAATAATGAATTCAGATTTCATTATGTGACAATACATGAAATGGACTAGAAGCTTTCCCTTAAGTAGCCAGCACTCAACAGATATGATATCCTCGTGTTGCAAGATCTGCATTATTTTTTTAAACATCATTATTTTTTAACAACATTATTTTTTTAAACAGTTAACATTATACAGGTTAGATTATGTAACCCTTCCTGTAACTCGTCGTATTCAAGAAACCTGACTCAGTTTACCACCTTTTTCATCACTTGGACTATTTTTGTCTGGTTGAAATTAAAGTAATATTTGCCAGGCAGTCAAGGAATTTTTAAAGTCAGAGCCATGAGAATTTTTTAGACATGGGATACATAATTTGACACGACATTGGCAAATTCCAATTTTCAGCATTAAGCCTGGCAAGCATAGAAATTACAGATACAGTAATTCGCCGATTACAAAAGGAAGTTAAGATAATATACAATCTCCATCTTCTCTCTTCTACATTATAGGCTTTGTATCTTCTATCATCGAAAGCTCAATGCAGGACTGTTACTGCAAAAAACATGTTTATGCCTTCCAGTGTATTTCTTTTTTTTTTTTTAGTTTGAAGAACTGAAATAATTTGTACAAATGTTGAAGAAGAATTCTGATAATCTGTGACTGCTCAATCCATACATGTCTGTAATCTGCACTCACTTTACTGTAAACAAATAAGGTTTTTATTTTTACAAAATTCAGCATAGTAAATTTAATGATAATTTCATAATCATTAATAATTTTTCTAATACAAATGTGCAAATAAATAATTAACTAAAACACATTATAACAGTTTGATTGAGAAAGTGAATTAATTGCTGAATTTATTTAGTATTTTTTATAGCTATGCCAGCACCCTTTTCATAGTAAACACACATCATGAATCTGTTAAATAAATGTTTTACATAAATCATGTATAACAACTGTTAAATAAATGTTTTATATAAATCATGTAAAGATGTATAAACCATTATCTTTTTTAATGAATTTTGTGTTTTATGTGATTAAAAGGTGTGAAGAATTTATTTCATTTTTCAGTCACTGAATTCTAACTTAAAATACACCTCATAGCTGGTACACACGCCTAGCTAGCTTTATAACAACAGCAAACAGGGACTGATTCTTAAAAATAAATTTTTTAGAGAATTTTCTGCATTAAAAATCATAAACATGGTAATATCTAAAAAGAAGATCTAAAAAAAAAAACAATTTCTTTTTAATAAATCAAAATTTCAGTTTCAGCACAAGTTCCAGAAGGATTAGTAATCCAAATGCACATACATGGAACATAATAGTAGAATTAGTTCATGGATTCTATTTAGTGAAATAATGCCTTTATGAATAATTTATTTTACCCCTCATTTAAGCATAAAAATTACTTTAAAGTAATTTGAAAGTAAGTACATAATTTTAAAGTATTTCAATGCATTTTAAACAAAAAGTTATTAAATTTTAGGATTTCTCACTTTTCTATTTTTCCTTGAATTGACATTATTTGGTTATTACAAACTCATGAAAACATGATGTATAATATACAACAATCTCCAATTTGCACAGCCTTTGAACCCAAAGTTTGTAGATTATTGGAATTTTAACATATTTATATGGTAAATTATTTAAGATATCGTTATTTCTTTGTTCTTAGGTTTTAAAATATGTTTCATATGATATGATAATTATTTTCTTGATGATCTAGGAACACTCAAAACCATTTCCCATAATGATAATTGCTTCTTTGCTTTACACTGTTTCAGCTTTCTTTATGCTAGAAAGTTTCACAGGAATAGTCTGCTTTTGTTAAACACGGAAAATCTGTATTATATTATTTTACATAAAAATCAGTCATGTAACTGGCATTCAAAATATCCAACAGATCATATTATTACAAAAATTTCATAGAGGAATGCTATTTGTACAAAGGCAGATAAAATTTATTCTGAAATAAATCAATTCATTTTAAATAAATTTGATCAAAAAATATCCAAAATAACAAAACTTTAAAAAAATAATAGTATTCTACTAACACTAAAAATGTTTGCTCTTTATAAATCTACATATAAAATTTTTAAAAAAAATAGCAAATGTTATAACATAGTTGCCAACGTCTAAATATGAAACACGAGATTTTCATGCAAAAACTGACAGAAACAGGGAGGATTTCACAATGTACGGCAAAGTAATTTCAAGAGAACACCAAGCTGAATTAAGTTCACTTTATTATGTATGATTTGGCTGATTACTTTTTTTGGGAGAGCTAATTTCATTTCATTTTGTAATTTTCCTAATATTTCATACTGACAAAATCCTGAATACAGAAGAAAAACTTTTATTTATTAAATTACTTTTAAATAAAATGAAAATGAAATTAATAATTAATGTACACTGTTCAAAAAAAAAGGGGGGACAGTTCTATATTTCCCATTTTATTGGGCCGATTCATGAAATTAAAATTGTGTTTATTAGATTTGTATAAAGCATTGTTCTAATATAGGTATTTCGACAGAAAATCGGACTTTTTCTAAAATGGCATGCCAATTTTTCTCTATATTTTTCGGTTCTACGAATCAAATTATGCCTAAATATTAAATTTTGTAAAATTCAATGCAAAATTTACGGAGAAATTCGAAAATTAATCTTGCCGTATTCCCCCCCCCAATTTCCACCAAGAATAATTCACTTGGTGAACTTCTTAATTTATAGCAACCTATTTTCCTTTCCTTTTTTTCATTGCAGAAGAACGGGGGGGGGGGGGGGGGGGGGTCATTATTCATACTTGCAAATAATTTAAACAGAGTGCGTAAACCGCATTTGGCATTATTATCACTTTTAACCAAGTATGCCCAACTTCAAATGCAAATTCACGTATATCTTATAAAGTTTTGAAGAAAAGACTCCAAATTTTCGTAGGAGTGCCTAGAAATACATCTACTTTAAGATCATGTTAAAAATTTTGTAGGTTAAAATTCAAATTTTTTTTCAAAAAATTTATAAAAAATTATTTAAAAAATAAGTCATAAAAAATGGGCGCATTTTAATTGGAATGAACCTAAATTTTGAAATGTGAAAGGAAGAATCAAATAAGTTTAATAAAAAAAGAGATATTAATAAATATGTATCAAATTCAATTAACACTGAGGAACTAAAATTTTGAGAGCTAATTTTTAAAAACTACTCATTCAATTTTTACAAAACTTGGCAGTTTGTCATAATTTCAGTCGTAGAATCGAAATATGGAAAAAAGTGGCACATCATTTCAGAAAAAGTCCGATTTTGTGTCAAAAAACCTATATTAGAACAATGCTGTATATAAATCTAATACATATACTAGGTTGTGCTTTCGAGACATAAAAAATGCAAGTTGAATTTTGTCAATCGGCCCAGTAGAACAGTAGGTATAGAACTATCCCCATTTATTTAGTCCAGAGGTGCTTTATCATCCCTGAAGGACTATTGTTTTTGTTTTGCAATTTTGCATCGATTCACTACAAATGGACTTTTTCAAACTGTTGCCACATAGTATTATTGCCCTGTGTTATACTTAAAGAAATTAAATAATGAAAAATCTGCACAAATGTATGTATATTTCTCACATTGTGATAAAACAACGGTACGCAGAGCCATCGAATTTTGGATGACGTAATCCTCCTATGAATATGGGCATGTGGAAGGCCCAATTTAAAATTTAGAATTTGTTTTATTATTGATTTCCTATTTTGTAAAACTTGAATGAATTTTTTATTAACAAACTCAAGGTTTTCAAAGTGAGCAATGGCAACGTTGTACAGAAAAAACATTTTTTATCTCCAGTGCGCGAGTCTCTGTATCGGAAATTCTAAAGATATGCTCATTTTAAAACTATTTTGCGATATTGCTGTTGAACTGAATTTTATGGTTTAAGT